TATAGATTGTTTTATTATCATACTTAATAACTTTTTGAGTATGTTTAAATTACAGATCCATTTATAAATAACAGAGACGGTACACTGTGTCAATATTTTATTTTTATTTTTATAATTGGATGATTTCAAATGGTTATAAATATATAGTTATATTCTCATATACACATATAGAGGGCGCCATCACATTGACAATAAAGACAGTGCTTTACAATGTAAACAGTATATAGATACAAAGTATCAATATTATACAGATTAAAATGCATACAAATGTGCTTCACTGCAAGAGTAAAAGTTTTTGGAAGTTTCAATCTACGAATATTTCTGTAAAATGTATATAGAAACAAAAACAATTAACACAGTACAAAATAATATTCAGTATGTATACAAAATTTGAAACTCTATTTCACAATCTGTGAACCAAGCAGCAATGGTAGTTTGTCAAAAGAGCTGAGTGGAGGTACTCTGTTGTTTTATTTAAAGAAAACAAACAAGACAAATAAGAAATATAGCATAGAAGATCTAAAACTAAAAACATCAACAAATAAACTGAGACACACAACATACGTATTAACCACATAATGTACATGGCTCACAGTAAATGTGGTATTACCATGGAAATATGGTCTCTTCTTACACTAATGTAAATGAAATAATGATAGAATTGTAAGTAACTAGTATTAGACATGTGAATTGACTTGGATTAGTTGTTTAAAAAGACGTACATAGGATGCTGAGAGGATAATTTCATTTAACAATGTTTTACAATTTTATTATTATTATTATTGATGCTGCGTTAAATCAGGCAATCTTGCAATCCCATAATACACTCCTTGTTATTAACATAAACTTTTAAATCACACTGAAACAAAATTGAAATTGTACAATAGACCATTTTCATTTCATTGCTGTGCTGTGCGTAAAATAAAAAATAAAAACAGGACAAACAAAGGTTTGAACTCAACAAAGTATTTTGGCGTGATTTCCACGCTTAATAAACATGAGGCAGTGGTGTATACAGTTGAAAAATAGACAAACAATGCTTGTTTTCATAAACAAACCATTCTTTTAATCCAAACCAGTGTGACAACATCTTGCCTGTATTGGCACTGATTTATCATGAACTACACAGAACAAAATTTTCACTGTATTTTGAAGATTTATATACACTATTTTGTTATCAATGATGTATTCAGATATTTGTTTATCCATCTTTATAGGAAAACATATTAAGAATTTCATAAATATATATATATACAGATTCTATCATGTTGTTTATATACAGGACATATGTCCTCCCACTATTTTTTATATTCAAATAACAAACACACATACACAGTGTTCATTTCCTAGTCTAGTATTTCCAGTCACCTTTCTTCATATATTATATTAATTCAAAATAAAAGTTTTTTTTTTATTTTGGTTTTGTAAATCAGTTTTCCGAAGTTTGTCATTGGTTGATCAGTCCAGACCAAATGACAGTATGGCTGCCTTCAGTTAAGATCACAATCAAGCTGTAATTATAACATAGTTGAACTCTGGTGACCTTGCCCTTTGTTATATAATATAATTCCCTTTATCATAGTTTGTTTCAATATAAATATGCATTGTCATAATTAATTTTGAATACAAACAAGTTTTGGGGTTGAACCAACAGTGGGGAATCAGTCTACCGAATGTTCTTAAAAGATGTAAATATCTTACAAAAACATTGGTGCCTTATTTGTTTAATTATTTTAAGGGACATAATTTCCAGCTTTATTCAAAGTAATTCAGATATTTTAGTATAAAAACAAATGTCTCATTGAAAAAAAAAAGTGCTACATTTAGATGTGAATAGATTCATGAAACATGCAAGATAACAGAAAATTTTAGCTGGCTTTAGTCCAAGTATTTTGTACAGGTGTCTGTCAAAAATTAATGATTCACTGAGACAAATATGAACTGCCTCATTGTGTGACTACTGTATTATATGAAAAGTAAAAAAACACCCTTTATGAATAGCTATC